TAAAGAGTAAGAGTTTTATGATTTTAGCCTGGTTCTGTTCTAACAAAAATGATTGGAACTTGGAATTTCTTAAAGTTGTAAGAAAATAAATCAGATTTTTCAACAGATAAATATAAATGGTAAAAGTGTATATATATCTATGAACCATCCACTCACTGAGTTGCAATATCGTAAATTTTATTACCTTTTCTTTAGCAGGTAGTAGCTGAATTGAGTAGCTTTGGAGTCTGTCGATCCACCGACTTGAGCCACACACATTGTCATTAGTTGAATGACTCATTTTGTTAGTTCATTTAGCTCATATTTGTTTTGGGGTACATGTAGCTTTTGTCAGAAAAGTTTATTATGAATTTACTGTGTATTTGATATCCTTAGTACATTTGGGAACTTTTGGTTGTCAAGTACAGGAAATATCGATTTGCCAGCATTCTATTTTGAATTGTTTGAATTGTTACGAGGCTGGTGTACCATATTTTTTAAATTATATGTACGGTTTGAGTATATTGATTGTTGTTCAGGTGGTTTTTGTCCATATTATAGGGGAAATTTCGTCAAAATTTTTATAAAAGTAAGTTACAATTAGAACAGGTCATAGTCACTTTGGTGGTGGGTCCGGCACTTAGCTGGTATCTATCATCGGCGCATACCACGTGTCGGGTCCATTAGGGTGACCTGTGACGGGTCGTGACACAGAGTGTCGAAGAGTGAAGACTATATAANCAGGTCCATTAGCGTGATTTGGGATGGGTCGTGACACCAAGTCATTGAGAGGATCAACAATAATGCTTACAAAGTGGATCTCCCAGGTGAGTTTAATGTTTTAGCTACATTTAATGTTGCTGATCTATCTCTGTTTGATGCAAGTGCAGATTCAAGGACAAATCCTTTCGATGAGGGAGGGGATGAAATGGTCCAAGGTGCTATCAAAACGAGGACAAGTCCAAGAAAGGATCCATTTCTAGTGGAAGAAGGACCGATGACTCGATCGAGGGCCAAGCAGATGAAAAAAGTGATGGCATTGCATGTTCAAGCTACGGTTGACGATATGGCAAACGTGACGAAGAATGGGGCAAGTTTCATGTTGGGGTCAAGGTTGGAAGACATTTGGATCAATGTAATAGAAGCAAGCGAAGATGGAGGCCAAAGTTACTACTATACGACCGCATAGTAGAAATTGGCATGCGATCGCATACCTATTTATCGAAACCAAGTGGGGACGTTTTGATTGTTCTATGCGACCGCATAGAACAAAAATCTGGGAGAATATTTCCTTTTTCCGCGAATTCTCCATAATTGATAGAATTCTATGTTTAGTCAATCCCTACCTTATTTATGAGATTATGCACGTTTTTATTTAATTTTTAGGGTTTGGTATAAATTCCAAAAACATTCATTGTATTGGACCTTTTGACAATTAATTAATTGAGAGGCTTTCTTTTCTTTGTTTTTCAATTGAACAACAAATCAAACTTATCAAGATTGAAATTTTGTGGCATTCAAACATCGGATCATGGGTTCTTCATTGTGTAATCCAGGGTTCATCGCATCTTTGTTATCGTTGGGTTTTCTGGTTCATTTTGATGGGTTCAAATCCAAAACCGGGTTTAATTGGCGTTCTTGAGTTCCGCATCAATCTAGTTGTGGGTTTCGTAGTCACAGTTGCTACGGGATTCGCATCAATACTAATTACCTAATTGGTGGCTATGCTAATCAAGTAAGGCAAAAAAAAATTAGGTAACTGACCTGGCTTCTTATTTCAAGATTGAAATTATAATATCAAATCTATGCACAATTTCAAAGTCATAATACATAAATTAAAATTTACTTCT